ATACCTCAAAAGACAATAACTGACATCCAAGCAGATATATGCACACCTATGTTTATCACAGCTTTGTTCATAATAGCAAGGTGTTGGAAACAACCTAAGTATCCATCCACAAATGAATGGATAGAGAAGCTGTGGTATATCCACACAATGGAATACTATGCTGCATTGAAAAACAAGGAACTCATGCAATATTATTCAAAATGGGTGTCCCTGGAAGACATTATGCTGAGTGAAATATCTCAGTCACAAAGGGACAAATACTGCATGGTGCCACTGTTGTAAAATAGGACTGACCTCATGGCTGGGGGAGATGAGAAAGATGGGTTCAATAATGTATACTGCACTGAAACAGATGAGGGACAAAACTGTTTAAAACGGATATGTGAAGTATTTTTTGTCATGACAGGAGTCTAGAGTGAAGGCTACATGGTGGAGCGGACCAGGGGGAGGGTTTGTAAAACAATGAAAAAAATTTTCTTTTACTTTTCCAAGAGGGTAGTGTGTGTAGGGTGGGATTTGGGAGGGGAGAAAAGTGCAACAATGAATGAATGGAAATCCAAAGTCTCTGTAAATCTTTACTGAAATTAATAATAAATTTAAATTTTAAAATTTGCATTAGCACAATCAAGTGTTCTGGGATTCCCATTCTTCTCAGAGTCAACCACAGTTTGTTATGATCCACACAGTCAAACGCCTCTGCATAATCAATGAAGCAAAGATAGACATTCTTGTGGTACTCCCTGCTTTCAGCCAATATCCATCTAACATTAGCTACAATGTCCCTAGTACCACGACCCCTTCTAAACCCAGCCTGGACTTCTGGCAGTTCTCTGCTGATGTGCTGTTTCGGTCGTTTTTGGATAATCTTCAGCAGAATCTTGCCTGCATGTGAAATCAATGATATTGTTCTATAGTTTCCACACTCTGTTGGGTCACCTTTCTTTGGAATGGGAACAAATACAGATACAGATCTCTTCCAGTCAGTTGGCCAAGTGGTTGTTCTTCAGATTTCTTGACACAACTTGGTGAGCACGTCCGGGGCAGTATCTGTTAGCCGAAATATGTCAATTGGTATACCATCTATTCCGGGGGCCTTATTTTTTGCTATTTCTTTCAAAGCACTTGAACTTCTTCCTTCATCACCATAGGTTCTTGCTCATATGTTATTTTGTTAAATTCTTCTGTGTCTGCCAATTTATTTCGATACAATGACTCAGTATATTATTTCCATCTTCTCTTGATAACTCCCAGATCATTTCGTACTCTGCCTAAAGCATCCTTGATTATAACAACTCGAGGTTTGAATTTGTTCTTCAGTTCCTTGAGCTTAAGAAATGCTGAGCGAGTTCAACCCTTTTGGTTTCTGACTCCACCTCCTTGCACATTTCATTGTAATATGGCAATCGTCAGAAGAGAGGAAGGAAACACTGCATGGTTCAAAATTGGGAAGGGGGTACGCCAGGGATGTGTCCTGTCTCCATACCTTTTCAACCTGTATGCAGAACAGATCATCCAGGAGGCTGGGCTCTATGAAGAGAAATGTGGCATCAGGATTGGTGGAAGATCCATAAACAATCTGCGTTATGTAGATGACACAACGCTGCTTGCTGAAACTGAGGAGGATCTGAAGCGCTTGCTGCTGAGGGTCAAGGACTGCAGCCTTCAATATGGATTGAGGCTCAATGTCAAGAAGACAAAGATTCTCACCACTGGACCAATTGGCAGCATCAGGATGGATGGTGAAGAGATTGAGATTGTTCACAGCTTTAGTTTGCTTGGCTCCACAATCAACACTCTTGGCACCAGCAGCCAGGAAATTAAAAGACGTATTGCCATGGGAGAGTCTGCTGTTAGGGACCTCTCTAAAGTACTCAAGAGCAATGGTGTGTTTCTGGATACAAAGGTGCGTCTGGTACAGGCCATGGTCTTTGCAATCACTTATTATGCATCAGAGAGCTGGACAATGACCAAGCAGGATAGAAGGAGAATTGATGCTTTTGAGCTTTGGTGTTGGAGAAGAGTGCTGAAGGTGCCATGGACCGCTAAGAGAACAAATAGATTCACCCTGGAGGGAGAGGGTTAAACCAGGTGGCTCCTTGGTGGCAAGGATTCTGAGGCTTCATCTGACATACTTTGGTCATGTTGTAAGGAGAGACTGGTCCTTGGAGAGGGACATCATGATTGGGAGGGTGGAGGGCAGGCGCAGGAGGGGAAGGCCTTCTGAGAGATGGATTGATTCAGTGACTGGGGCAATCGGGATGAGTGTGTCGGAGGCAATGAGATTGGCACAGGACAGAGCAGAGTTTAGAGCTGTTGTACATGGGTTCGCTATGAGTCACAAGTAACTCAAAGGCACATAACAACAACAACAAATTTTTTAAAAAAAAAGATTATGGTTTGAATCAGGTGCACTTTAAACTCACATCATTTCTCCTTAACACCTTAGAAAGGACCTTGACAGCAGATTTTCCCAATGCACTATGCCTTTTGATTTCTTTACTGCTAGTATGAAGGGTGCTGATTGTGGTTCCAAGTAAGATGAAATCATTGACAACTTCAGTCTTCTCTCCATGACAACTTCAGTCTTCTCTCCATGTATCACGATGTTGCCCACTGGTGAATTCTTCAGTGTTCTTGATGTTGAGATGTAATTTGTATTGAAGGCAATAGTCTTTGATCTTCTGCAGCAAGCGTTTCAAGCCCTCTTTACTATCAGCAAGCAAGGTTGTGTCATCTCTATAATGCAAGTGACTTGAAATGTCTCATTACAAACACTGAAGTTCTAACTTGGTACTTACATGGTACATCCTCCAGCTGTACTGGCCTCCTTCCACCCTCCTGGGTATCTAAAAAACAAGTTGAAAGTCACTATTCTAATCTAGTTTTTTTCATGTTTTGCTAAAATCCTTTGTCTCAATTCTTGACTAGAAAGTTCCTCAGTCTATCATCTTCAAATCTTTTAAATAATCTCCCTCTGAGACAGAGTTTTTAGCTTATTTTTACACTACTAAAAAAAAAGTCTTCAACAGTTCTCTATTACTGTTTATTGTTGTTGTTGTTGTTGTTGTTGTTGCTTGCTGTCAATTAGAGCATGACTTATAATGACCCTATAAAGACAAGACCTGAAGCCTTTCTATAACTATCGTTTTTTCTCAAAGTTCATAGTTTCCAGAAGCATGTTGTTTAGGAGGGGGATGTCACTCTTGCTTCCAAACCTGTCTTAAACTGGGAGCTCCACCAAACACTGTCCACCATGGGCAATCATTATGGCATCTGACACCCCAGTGGCACATGGTTGAGCATCACAGCAACCGTTACCTCAATACAGCAAATTGACAGAAGAGTGCTGTACCACTTGTCTTTTTTAAAGATCCTAAATCCTAAGTCTGACATTCAAAGTCCTTTAACTATGACCTTAGTCTTTTGGTACTTGTCTTTCACTTCTCACTCCATGGAAATTGAACATTATTTAAGCAAAGCATATGTCACTGATATATTCAGAATCCCTTGTCGCTGGTGATGTCATTTCTTCTTCCTGGAACAGCCTTCTCTGCACCTCTGCCTTTTTAGATCCTATTTGGCTCTCATTACCTATACTTTGAACTCCAAGAAAATGCTGACAGTGTACCTTTCCCATTAAAAAAAAATCTTCCCAGGCCTAGCATGTTTTTTGTTGTAAATA